TCAAAGCAAAGACATCCCAACAAGTTTGGCATGTTTGTCATTAGATAGCACTAGGGACATTACTTTGGAGTGTAAGAAGGTACAAGTACATGATGGCAAGGATTCTTTGAGTTCTTCTGGAAAAGCAAACTACTGATTTCAATACCCACCTCCCACTAAAATAAAGGTAGCTCTCACAAGAAAAAAAAAGTAGTTAAAAAATATAATTTCTATCAGAATAATGCATGACTGTTGTTTCTTTGGTTACCTAGCAAAAAAATTGTCACAACTTTGCTCAGAAGAATTCATCTCTCACATTCAAAATATTGTAGATTTGGATTAGCATTTATTCCAGACCTTACAGAAGTCTTTTACCCAAAGAAAACTTTACTAGAAGATTGCAAGACATTGAAAACTGTCCATTGTTGCTAAGGATAAAAACTCCAGCAAGGATGGAATTATAAAATTACCTGCAAGATGGCAGAAAATAGTCGAACAAAATGGTAAATACGTTGTTCAATAAAGTTAATGTCAAAAATAAAAAGCTTTGCAAACAAAAATTTGTGAGGAGCTTTCATATCTATTGCTGATTCTTAGCTAGTTGATAAGGGTCGTAAAGGAGTGGCACTGGTTACTCTGGCAGAGTTTAGAACCTCAATATGGCTGATAAAGTTGCTCCAATGCACTTTTAGGATGGTATGAAGACAATGCTAACTGAAGCACATAAACAGTAGGAGATGGTACTGATCTACCATCCAATACTGAGTACTACATAGAAGAATGAGCATCACCATGATTTTGTAGATACAGGTGGTTTCATGCCTTTCCTGAAGTTTTTGTTACTCTAACATGTTTTTGCCATCTACCAAAGACTTAGTTAACTTGGGCCACTGTTCATTATTTCTCTATCCAGTCTGGCATGAGAATACGATACTGTCTATACAGGATATGTCCATGACAATTTCCAGCTTTGACAGGTTGATGAAAGGCAGATGATACTTTTAGCTTGGTGCAGATTGGTGAATAATCATTGTCCTTTTAAGATTGAACTTCATGCTGAAGTGTTTTGTAGCTTTTGCTTAAGGAGGACATTACCTATTTCTGTATGAGCAATCAGAGCCCTGATCAGCTACACAGATTTTGTGATAGCTCAGACATACTTTAGGACCAATGGGTTACTGGTTTTTCATATATAGATGCATCAATCACCTTTGTAGACTTTATCAATTAATTATGCTATTTCATAAAGAATATTGAAAAATGTATGGGAGCCAGAACACAGGTTTGCTTGATGCTGTTTTCAAATGAGAAGTGTCTGGAGAAATAACTTCTGTATCCAACTTGCCCAAGCTATAGCCTGTAGAATTGAATGAACATGGTGAGAAATTTTGGTGGGCATGGACAAACTATTTTTTTTTTTTTTTCAAGATTATCCAAATGCTTGGCCTGCTTACCATATCAAATGCCTTTGTCAGGGTGACAAGAGTGCTTCTCTTGTTTGCATTTCTCTTGGATTTGCCTTCGGGCAAAGACCATTCCACCTTGGTTTGCTCTGAAACAAAATTTGTTCTCAATGCAAGTTATTAATCTGTTTAGCAGTATTGTTAAGAATATTTTGCCTTCAATTAAAATCAGAGTGATACAATGGTAAATTTAACAGTCAAATTTAGTCCTTTACAAAAACAAAGGACCTATAATGGCTGTGTCTTTGAATCCTTTTGGTAGTTTACCCTGATCCCAACATCTGACAAAGAGTTTATAGAACCTTTTGTGCACAGAAGGGCTGCTATGTCATCAGTACCTGCAACCATTACATTTTTAGTGGTTAAATGGTTTCTCTGTTTCTTGTGATCCTGGGATCTTATCTAGCTTTAGTTTGATGGTTTTTGTATAAAAAAGTCAAAAGGACATTCTATCTCCCCACCATATTAACAATGTGATATACCAATTTGGATGTAGTTGCAGAGCTGACACATAGATAGAACCACCTTACAGTTAGACACACGAATAAATCAACATGTACCCAGAATAATAGGAATGGTATGTTCCAATCTGGTGACAAGATAAACAACACGCATGGATCTGCCATTGTTGAACACCTTATAAATAATCCAAGCTGTGCCACCAATTTCATCACTGACTCTTTCTCCATCCTTAGTCATGCTCATTATTTATTACATTTGAAGGCATTGGAAACAATCTATGTCAGGTCCAGACAGCCCTCCCTCTGTAAACAGAGGAAATGTCTGTTAGGGCTTGACATTATTTCATTACATGCTTCTTATGTTTTATATTTTATATTGTAAAATTTAGTCTTCCCTCAATTTCAGCTCTTGAGTGAAGGCAAAACTGATTGGCTGGTTAATTTTTTTTTTTTCCAGTCATGAATGGTAAAGATTGTCTTGCCGTTTTTATTTCCATAAAAAAATAAATAAAAATAAAATAAATAAATAGCTGACTTCACTATCTGTGCAATCACCAGTTAGTTTTACTTCTCTGTGACTGATCTACTCAACAAAACTCTTGTTCAAAACTTTTATTAAACTAAAACTAGTTTGTAGAATATATATCAAGTGAGTAAAATATAAACTCAAAAGTATTTAATAATAATAGTATTTTGAAAATATAAAATGATAAATTTAAATGTCTTCAAAACCATCAAAGTCTGAGCTATCAGATTTTGAGGGGAAAAGGTCAAATTAAAATAAACAAACTTCATTGACTACCAAAATGTTTTTGTTTAATTAATTTCACTTTTTCAGTTTGTTTGACTCATAAGTCAATTATATATTTTTTTTCAGGGAGAGAGGAAGATGCATCTCTTTATCATTCAATGGTCTTATTACATGGATAGTAAAGTATTGCCAATTAAAGTAAGCACTGACTTTATAAGAGCCCAATTTTACATTAAAATTATTTTTTTCTTTAACACAAAAGCAAAAGACTTTAGAATTTAAAAAAAAGTTTGAATTTTCTTTTTAAAACAGTGTTGATTTCCTGGTGAAAATTTGAATATACCTAAATGGTTCACAAGCATCCTTAGACATTATCCACCGAGCTCTTGGAATCTATCTACTTTGAATAATGAAATCATACTGTGTGTGTGTGTGTGTATATATATATATATATATAAGAGAGAGAAGTTAATTATTATATGCCAGTAATTAGCAATAAATTGTAATATATCAGAGAGAAAGAATAATCCTAAGTTATATGGTTATTATCTCTGTCTATATTTCTAAAATGCAGTATTTTAACTATTTAAATCAGTCAGATTGTTTCCCTCATCTTTATTGCCATATTTATGACATTTTGACTGTTGTATGTTCCAGCCTTCTTCAGGTGATATATGTTGGAATTTTGAACCAAACTCAGACAAAACGTCGTGAATATAGCAATAATGAAGAAAACAGTCCAAATGATGTAAATAGTGTAAATGGTTATTACTATTGAATAGTGCTTTCTGTTATTTTAGATTTTTGCAGATACAAACTAGTTATAGCAAAATATCGCTAAACACTAGGTAATCATTTTTTAAACTTTAACTGTTTTATATAAACAAGTCTGTCATTTTACTTACAGTAATAAACTAAGTTTTACCTCTTGAGCAAAACAAATGTTAAAAAATAAAAGTTGATTACATATCAATCAGATTTAGAAAATTCCACATATTAAAACATCATTCAAAATTATTACAGCTAATAAATACTTATTTACAAAAGATTTCCTTTTTAAGTGGCAACATAAAATTTTATGAATAAATAATTTCATAAAATTCAATTTTCTGATTTGGTTCCAGATGAAAACTTTAGTACAAATGAATGTTGAGGATAAAAAAAAAAACAACAACAAACCCCCCCCCAAAAAAAAAACAACTATATTTTCAATCCTCTTCCTTTTATTTACAGACTGATTTTATAATTTAAAGACATTTTGCTTCAATTAAAAATCAGTTTTCTCTGACCTGTGTTAATTCTTGGTAAGAAGCTTTAAGAATCTGGCACAAGGAACGAAACATTGTCTTTTTTTTTTTCACTTTAGTTTTGAGCCAGCTGCTTCTGGGATTTCTTTCATGTATGGTTGATTTCCCATCACCATCAAATAACTTACATCTGTTACTTTGCCTCTAATTACATTGTTAGCAAACATTTAGTATAATAACAGTTAACAATACTGCTATTATTAAAAGCTGGAAATTGCCCGTTTTCTAAACATTCATTGACTGTTGCTTAAAGCAAGAAACAAAGTACAAACACAATAATTATTACTATTAAAGTACAAATGACTCTATAAGGTTTGTTATTTGCTGCTAAGAGCCAATTCATTAAAAATATAAATTATCCATACCTTAATTCATAGTTTGCAATTTAAAAATAATTAAAAAATTTTTTTTTAAATATTTTAACTATTTTTATTTAAATATGTTTACATGTTTGATCAGAGGAATTCATAGGAATTATGAAAATTTATAAAAAAAAACAAAAAAAACTTAAGCTACAGTTTACAAAAGTAAATATGAAACAATCTAGTTAAAGCACAGCAACAGAGAAATGTGCAGTTTATAAGAACATAAATATATTAAGATGTGACTATATAATTATAAACTATATACTGAATTTAAATGTCACTCATGAAAATAAGTAAAATTTAAAATCTAAAATTGATAATTGTTAGAAAACTCATCATTTATTAGCATTTTTTTCAAGGTCTTATGGCTGCAAATAAGAACATTTCTTCTTTCAATGCTCTTTAAAGCCTAAAAATATGTGGAAAACAATGTATATATTATATGCAAACATGATTTTGCTGAAAGAAGAAGTCTGAAAAGACTAAACATAAAACCACTATTTACATGAGAAATGAAAATGATAGAATAAAAAAAAAAAAAAAAAAAAGCTGTGATCTGCAGTGAAGTGATTAAGAATCTGACATGTTTGATATTGGAATTTTAAAGATACAAATATACAAGTAAAAATTAATTGAATTAGTTTTCAATCATATATTATGTATTTAAAACTTACCTTGAACATGAATATATTGTTTTGATGGTTTGAAATCTTCTTTATAATAGGTTTCATATTTTTCAGATACTTGTACCACTTCTGGAATAGGGATGACCAAGGCTTCTGCTGTTCCATAGACTTGCTGGGCAGAAAGAGCTCGTTGCAAATGATGCTCCTGAAAGAGAAAAACATATTACAAGGTTATAAATATAAATTTGGTATACAGAGAAAAATATATAATCAACAAATAAGAAATATTTCATTCAGAGATGGAAGGGATTTATTTTGAGATAATAAAATTACAATTCTTTAAAGAGAAGTTACAAAATCAATTTAAATGCAAATGTGAAAGCCTTTCTGAAAGATTGCTTCTCTAATTAGAGATCTTGGAAAACATCTTTAAAAGCTAAATTTAGTTATTTGCTTATGCAATCAAACAGTAATTTAATTTGATCTAATTGAAATTAATTGAGAAAATAAGAATTTGTAATCTGATGAATATCATTAAAAAATATTATGACAGCATAAATAGAAAAGATTTAGATTTTAAAATTTAGGATATATCTATAATGTTGGAAAAAAGATATAAATCCAAATAAACTTGATTAACCAAATCGTCTGCATAGGAGACAGGTGTATGAACAGTCAAAATCATATCCATTGTAGCTTTCATAGTAAATATTAAACATTTTTCAAAAAACATTTCCACAGGAGCCAAAGAGAAAAGTGGTGAAGAAGCTGTTAAACATAAAAAGATTTTTTTTTTTTTTTTCAATTTTTTTTTTCAGACCTTATTTAAGGAGAGAACAGTTTGAATAAGTTTTCAAAATTCACTGGGTACAGCACAAAATAAAGTGCATATTAATATTAATGACTTTAATAATTTAAAAAAAATCCACTAAACTACAAAATGAATGCTTATCATTTATCATTCTTTTATTATATCAGATTTCACCAAAGCCCTTAATTATCAAACTCAATTCCTATAAAAACATTACATGTTTAAACCAGTTTTTTTTTTTTTTGTCAACAAAATTAAATCTAGGATAACATTTTCTTCCTCTGCTTAAATCTCCTTGCAGCAAAAGCCTGAAATAGATCATTATAATTCAGTTGACTGACTTTCTAGCTTCAATTCTTTAAGATATTGCTTTCATTTATAACTATTATATTCTTTAGCCTTATTTAATCATTTTATATTAGGAAGAAAATCTTATTTCTTCCAGCTATAATCCTTGCTGAATTTCTCAAAAAGGAAGTCACCATTAGTATTCTATATGATATCATGTTATTGTTTATTTAATATCAATTTTGAAATCATTTTAAATTTAATTTAGGAAGTAATTTAGTTGATTTAGCTTTTGTTTTCAGTATTCTTAAATCATTACATTAAGTGTAAAAGATAATAAATAAGTTGAGGAATTAAAGACAGGGTTTCTGTAATCAACTGTAGGACTTTGCAGGAAAATCCTTTAAACCTTTAACAACTACAGAATTTTCTTTCTATTGTAACAATATTCAACTAATAATATATATTACATAGAAACCAATATAGTTTTCATCTATCATATAAAGAAAAAAAAATTGTAAAAGAAAAAAATTTTTTTTTTCAATACAAACATTTTCTTCTACAATTTTTTTCAAGATTACAACTCTACTAAATACATTTATTTTCATCTAAGAGTGAAAAGTATACAACAATAACAAACTTATTTCAGTGGCAATCCACAACTACAATGGTTGGCAGTTTATTTGAACAAACAATTTCAGATAATTAGAAAAAAAGTATTTATAAACAAAGTTAACAAATTAAGATAACTTTGCTTTGATAATTTTCCTATTTAAAGCGAAGTAGTAATGATGCTATCTGAATAAAAAGAAAAACATTGAAAAATAGTAAAGCTCAATACTAGATTTTGAATAGATTTCATGCAAATACTTTTTTTTTTACTTTTTGAACACTATTCTATAGGAATTATGTTATGTTGACAAAGATAATGTTTATACTTTTAATGAACAATTTTAATTTCTTTTTTATTAATATGCAATCCAAACTAAAAATTTAAAAAAATGAATTTCCTAACCAATATCCAAGAACTATAATTTCTTTTCATCAAGTTACACTTACAACCATCTGTTGGCAACTGAACAAAATAATGGAGTTATTTCAGAAAACTAAATCAATCTATTTTAATGATGCTACTATTTAGTAAATTTTCTGATTAGGGAACTAATTGGAAAATTTATCTACTAAATAGGGAACTAATTAGAAATCAAACAGGTTATGATAAAAACTAAAAATAAATATACATGCAATGTCATTTATGAATCAATATTTTATAGATATTCAAATTTTATGAAACTTTAGTTAATATAATTAGTTGATAAGCAGTGGTTATTGCATATATTGTAATTTAAGTTTTTGCACTCAGAAATACTAGTTGAAAACAAATATTTAAGATTCAATTAAAATATCAATGAAAAATGTTCATAAAAGTAATAATTAATACTCAAAAGCAGGTAGAAATTTGCATGTTAGAAACTGTTTTGCAAGAATGTTGCATTTGCTTTCAGTGACTTTTATATAAACCTCAAGTAATATAAACAAGATGTTCTGTATTAGTGATTAAAAACTAATTCATTTGACACCAAGCATCATTTTCTTTTGCATAAATATTAGAGTTGCTTTAATAATTTATCACATAAAAAGGCATTGTGCAGGTACATACTCTACATGAGAGAGAGAGAGAGAGGAATGTGTTTTCTCATTAGATATACTTTCACCATTAGAAGAAAAACATCATTGAAGAAATTTGTAATAATAATTTGTATGAGCAACATCAGAAATAATAATAATAATAATAATAAGTCATTTAAATCATACCCAAGTAATAAAGAATCTTGTGGAGGAAAGAGAGGTATGTATAAGTTGGATGGGATCAGCTAAGGCCCATCCCAAACCAGTTAATTTACTTTTAAGTATAGCGCAATAATTTTGGATTTTCAAGCACAATATTTCATAATGCCTATCTCACCAGCTTCATTGGTTCAAAGACCAATCCAATTACAGTAATACATTCACCATGGTAACATGTTTATTACCCAACTTAAGCTACAGACAAAACTGATGAAAAACTCAAGTCAGCTATTGATGCTAATAACAAGAAAAATTTAGATGAATCCAATTTCTAAGAAAGAAAAAAAAAATGCCAGCCAACCTATCTTTGCCATTTATTTAATAACATTTTGTCAGTTTGAATTAACTTCAAACAAGCAAACACAAAATACAATTCAGTGATTTACCATGAATGAAACTGTTTGAAAATCTGCTGTTTACAGTCAACGGCAGTACTTGATTCCAATATTATGGATTAAGCTCACAATATCAATCACAATAGAAACATTTTAAATGTGACATGATGCTCAAAAGTTATATAAAAAAATAGGATCCCAAAGTCAAGTCAATCGAAGATGAACCTATGATTCTTAAACAATAATACATTAAAGACTTCAAGCCAGCTAAATTAGCCAAAACACTTGATTTGTCATTTGTATTAAATCTCCTTTTAAAGCAGCATCTGGACATCTCTCTGAGAAAATTTGTGTCAAACAGCAGCTGATACTGCCTTCAAGCAATTGATCATGCTAACAAAGATGAACATTCCTTACAAGATAAAAAAAACAAACTTTCCAAACATTATCTATGCATAGGAAATTTAGAATCTCATATTATGACCTCATCCTTATATAAACAAAAGCAGATGTAAGTTAGACTTTCATATTTACAATATTTTTATTCATTAAAAAAAATTTAATCTTTAGTAAAATGTATACTTTTTACATGGGTTTATCTTAGAGAATCTTATGGTTACTCTAATCTCAAAATTATTTTAATATTTATCATTATTTTTTCTAAATAAAAATCATTTTTATGCATCTTTCAATTAACTTCTTGAAATAATAAGATTATCATAAAGTTTGCCAAACACATACTTGCTAGAATAAAAACATTATTTGAATATGGTGACTTAAAAAAACTATTCAATCATTGTGATAAATAAAAATCACAAAAGGAGAAGGATTTGGCAAAAATGAGTGTGGATGACTAAGTGCTGCTTAATTTATACAATAAATAAATAAATAAACAATTAAAATTAGCTTGGTTACTTGAGATTAAGCATTAGTGTAGAAGAAACTGATTATTTTAACATCTTACCTTCTCTAGATGTTATTTTAATAACTGTATTACTCCATCCCATTAATAAAAACATTAGAAAAAATATTTCTATTAGCAATATTGTCTGTCTATAATATCCAAACTGCCACAGATTTTAGCAATTTTTTTTTTTAGTTTAACATTTTAAGCTGTAATTTTTCCTCTGTGTGTATGTGTGAATATATACACACACAGTTAGAACAAATACTTGTCATAAATTTTAGTTACAATAAATGACTGAATTCACTATCAACCAAGTATATCCATAAAGCTAACCTGTGCACTACAAGTAGATAATAAAAAAAGGTCTATTATGATAGAAAAACTGCATGTTTAATTTTTCATACTCTTGTTTCATGAGGCTGATTCTTGCTCCATATTTTCATAACAAACTGACTTTCATTTTATAGTACTTATATTATAAGAATATCTTATAAAATATTTGTGTTTGAAGGCCAAATGAAAACTAAACTTTGAAAAGTTAGTACATTTTTTTACTGCACCAAATATAGTTATATTAATCTATTCCTTACCAATTATATCTTGATCACTTGTTATGGCTACACTTTTTATTTTAATAGCTGTTTATTCTATGTGTAATTTTTAAATTTGATTAGACAATCTAATTATGAACATTAATAGCACATCTAAGACTGTTTACAAAAAATGTTCACAAACTGCAATTTATCTATGTGCTTTGTATTTGAACAGACAGTAATAATTAGATAAAATTTTAGAATATTTCTTGGAGATACAGAAAAATTATAGCAAGTAATCTTGCCTGGAAGTCAGACTGTGACCAATTTATAGTATATTTGGCCTTTGGGGGAATATTTAATTGAATTTAGCATTTACTTATGCAATCAAATAAGACAAGAGACAAATCAGTAAAATACCTGCTTTTCAATAATAAGAATTCCTATTCTAAAAGACAACTAGTTTCCTGGTTGTTTAATTTTCAAAAGTGAATACATAATACAATAATTGTAAAAAAGAAAAAAATTTCTTAATATTTTACAGCCAATCCCACAACTGTATAAAAGTTATTACATACAATTGAAATAAAAAAAATAAATTCAAAGTTTTAAAAACTTGCACAAATATATAGCATATGAAAAGGTTGAAGTATCTTACAATTTTAAATGTAAATTATTATAAGTATTTATCAAGTCTTTATGCAGAAAAAAATGAAAAGCAAAAATCAAGAATTTTGAATTTTTATGTACAGAAATAAAGCTTTATGGCCAATGAGAAGAGATTGAAAATGCCTAGCTTTACTAGAATATCACATTTAGCAAAAGGGAAAAAATGTCAAACTTATTTCATTTCTTGATTGAAAAATGTTAAAAACTGACGTATTGTAGTTTTAGATAAAAATGTGGGGATTAAAGTACAGCTGCTGGGAGCACATAGTTTTGTCAAGCCTTCCAACATAAAGAAGTCAA